ACATCTCTCAGCGCTCATTATGACGCAATTAGTCGCAATTTAAGCCTGTACAAATATAGAGTCTGTCACATCTTTCAGACGGAGACACGGGGAAAAAAACGTCCTGCTTTTTAGATTTGGGCGTGAAGTGCTGTGAGTGAGGGAGGTTTCCACAACTGCTAAAGACGCTAGAGTCTACAAGGCTAGGGTTTTAATGAAGGGTCTGGTCTCTCTCTCTGGTCTCTCTCTGGTCTCTGTCTCTGGTCTCTGTCTCTGGTCTCTGTCTCTGGTCCCTCTCTGGTCCCTCTCTCTGGTCTCTGTCTCTGGTCTCTGTCTCTCGTCCCTCTCTGGTCTCTCTCTGGTCCCTCTCTCTGGTTTCTGTCTCTGGTCTCTGTCTCTGGTCTCTCTCTGGTCTCTCTCTGGTCTCTCTCTCTGGTTTCTGTCTCTGGTCTTTGTCTCTGGTCTCTCTCTGGTCTCTTCGGTCTCTCTCTCTGGTCTCTCTTTGGTCTCTCTCTCTCTCTAGTCCTCTCTCTCTCTCTCTCTGGTCTCTCTCTCTACTTTCTCTCTGGTCTCTTTCTGCTCTCTCTCTCTCTCTCTCTGGTCTCTCTCCGCTCTCTCTCTGGTCTCTCTCTCTCTCTGGTCTCTCTCCTCTCTCTACTCTCTCTGGTCTCTCTCTCTCTCAGGTCTCTCTCCTCTCTCTGCTCTCTCTGGTCTCTCTCTCTCTGGTCTCTCTCTGGTCTCTCTCTGCTCTCTCTGGTCTCTCTCTCTCTCTCTCTCTGGTCTCTCTCTGGTCTCTCTCTCTCTCTCTCTCTCTCTGCTCTCTCTCTCTCTCTGCTCTCTCTCTCTGCTCTCTCTCTCTGCTCTCTCTCTCTGGTCTCTCTCTCTGATTGTGCTTCTTATCTTCCTGATGAAGATGGGACCAGATCTCTCAGAGCCGTCATTTTGTAAACACTCAAATCAATGGGATAAAGAAAAAAGTACATTTTCCATCAGTTTCAAAGGTTTTTTTTAAAAACTTTACTCTCTTTTAATAAGTGCTAAAACTTGAGAATAGAACTTTCACCTTGAAATACAGCAGTTTTAGTGGAAAAACCAACCCGGACAGAGCTAAGGTTAAAATAAACTTCCTCCTCTTGAGATTTGGGTGTGAAAAACCGTAATCCAGCAAACAGACACAATAATCCGACTCTGGATTAAAGTGACGCAGAAGGATTTACTCTGAGTTTCCGTGTTACTCAACAGCCTGAGACCGTGAGGCTGTTTGGATCCACTCTCCATGGAACCAACTCTTTAGAAGTAAGTAAAAAAGGAAGTCATCTTTCTTCATCGAGAAAACACAACACAGAAACAGTAAAATTCACATTATTCTGTAGTTAAAAGAACAACTTGTGATATTTTCATTTTAAATTCAATCCATTTGTCCCGAGCAGTGTTGGGACAAATGCGTTTCAAAAGTAATGTCATGACTGTACTGTGCTGTTTTTTGCTGTAACGCAGTAAAGTGAGAGACGTTTCATTACTATTCAATTTAAAACACAATTTAAACACACTTTAAAATAAATAGTGTTTTGTTTTTTTTATCCTCTGACACCGCGAGATCAGCAGGAGACACATCTGCTCCGATAGTATTTGCCGAGAAGTGTTGTTCCTGTCAGAGCCACTAATAAACTACAAACAAAAACAAAACTCCTTATCCCCACCGCTGTCAGACTGTACAACAAGTCACTTTAAGTCACGGCATTAAGGCTGAAAAACCTGCACTTTATTGTACATAATATATCCTGCATTTAACATGTTGCACGTTTCTTTCTTTTTGCACAATCTGAGTGTTTCTATCCGTACCAAATGTGACGTGTATATTTCTCCTTTGTGAGATCGATAAAGTATATCTTATCTTATCAATAAATCTTTTAAACGCATCGTGTCTGTCGTAGTCTCTCCAGATTGAATTACCCCGATAACTATTTAATGCTAATCCAGATTTCTACACAAATCTATTCTTTGCAAATATACTTTTTGATGAAAAGAGAACGATACTTTTTTGATCCCTGTCGGAGAAACTCAGAATAAATGAATCCTTCTAACAATAGTATAAAAATGCTGGGTTCATTTTGTTTCACCGACTGAAAAAAGTTTGGGCACCTCCGAATTAATCCATGAATCTGCGGCAGAAATATAATGCTTTTTGTGATCCAGCCTGCAACAAAAATTAAAAATCTCTTACAAACTGTATGTAATATTTATGAATCCAAATCAGTGTTTGTGTGGAGCAGGAAGCCCCCCCCCAGAGCCCACGGCCGGCGCTGACCTCTCACTGCTGTAATTACGTCTTCATTAAAGGCAAAAAAAAGCGGCTGCGATAGACTCCGCTCCAGGCCAGAAGATCGGCATCTATGGCTCCATTCATGGGCAAATCTATGTGTGCGTTTGGGAAAAGCGCCGATCTGAGGGGAACGGTGGAGGGAGATAAGAGCCAGCGCTGAGGGAAGGAGACAAGCTAATGACGCCGATGTTTTCCCAGGGTAAGAACAAAGCTACATGTGCAACTAAACACACACACGCTAAAACACGGGTCCATCGATCATCAGGAAGCATCCACAACTGCTTAAAGATGCGGGAGTCCCGGAAGAGAAGCAGGAGAGGGGAGCGTTTTAGACCGAGGGTTTTAGGCCGAGGGTTTTAGACCGAGGGTTTTAGGCCGAGGGTTTTAGGCCGAGGGTTTTAGACAGAGGGTTTTAGACCGAGGGTTTTAGACAGAGGGTTTTAGACCGAGGGTTTTAGACAGAGGGTTTTAGACCGAGGGTTTTAGACCGAGGGTTTTAGGCCGAGGGTTTTAGGCCGAGGGTTTTAGGCCGAGGGTTTTAGACAGAGGGTTTTAGACCGAGGGTTTTAGACCGAGGGTTTTAGACCGAGGGTTTTAGACCGAGGGTTTTTAGACCGAGGGTTTTAGGCCGAGGGTTTTAGGCCGAGGGTTTTAGGCCGAGGGTTTTAGACCGAGGGTTTTAGACCGAGGGTTTTAGGCCGAGGGTTTTAGGCCGAGGGTTTTAGGCCGAGGGTTTTAGGCCGAGGGTTTTAGGCCGAGGGTTTTAGACCGAGGGTTTTAGACCGAGGGTTTTAGACAGAGGGTTTTAGACAGAGGGTTTTAGACAGAGGGTTTTAGACAGAGGGTTTTAGACCGAGGGTTTTAGGCCTAGGATTTTAGACCGAGGGTTTTAGACCGAGGGTTTTAGACCGAGGGTTTTAGACCGAGGGTTTTAGACCGAGGGTTTTAGACCGAGGGTTTTAGACCAAGGGTTTTAGACCGAGGGTTTTAGACCGAGGGTTTCAGACCGAGGGTTTCAGACGGAGGGTTTCAGACCGAGGGTTTTAGACCGAGGGTTTCAGACCGAGGGTTTCAGACGGAGGGTTTCAGACCGAGGGTTTTAGACCGAGGGTTTTAGGCCGAGGGTTTTAGGCCGAGGGTTTTAGGCCGAGGGTTTTAGGCCGAGGGTTTTAGGCCGAGGGTTTTAGGCCGAGGGTTTTAGGCCGAGGGTTTTAGGCCTAGGGTTTTACCGAGGGTTTTAGACCGAGGGTTTTAGACCGAGGGTTTTAGACCGAGGGTTTTAGACCGAGGGTTTTAGACCGAGGGTTTTAGACAGAGGGTTTTAGACAGAGGGTTTTAGACAGAGGGTTTTAGACAGAGGGTTTTAGACCGAGGGTTTTAGACCGAGGGTTTTAGGCCTAGGATTTTAGACCGAGGGTTTTAGACCGAGGGTTTTAGACCGAGGGTTTTAGACCGAGGGTTTTAGACCGAGGGTTTTAGACCGAGGGTTTTAGACCGAGGGTTTTAGACAGAGGGTTTTAGACAGAGGGTTTTAGACAGAGGGTTTTAGACCGAGGGTTTTAGACCGAGGGTTGAGGGTTTTAGACTGAGGGTTTTAGACAGAGGGTTTTAGACCGAGGGTTTTAGACCGAGGGTTTTAGACAGAGGGTTTTAGACCGAGGGTTTTAGACCGAGGGTTTTAGACAGAGGGTTTTAGACCGAGGGTTTTAGACCGAGGGTTTTAGACCGAGGGTTTTAGACAGAGGGTTTTAGACCGAGGGTTTTAGACCGAGGGTTTTAGACCGAGGGTTTTAGACAGAGGGTTTTAGACCGAGGGTTTTAGACCGAGTGTTTTAGACCGAGGGTTTTAGACAGAGGGTTTTAGACCGAGGGTTTTAGACCGAGGGTTTTAGACCGAGGGTTTTAGGCCGAGGGTTTTAGACCGAGGGTTTTAGACAGAGGGTTTTAGACAGAGGGTTTTAGACCGAGGGTTTTAGACCGAGGGTTGAGGGTTTTAGACTGAGGGTTTTAGACAGAGGGTTTTAGACCGAGGGTTTTAGACCGAGGGTTGAGGGTTTTAGACCGAGGGTTTTAGACCGAGGGTTTTAGACCGAGGGTTTTAGACAGAGGGTTTTAGACCGAGGGTTTTAGACCGAGGGTTTTAGCCAGCTGCAGAGTTGCATCAGCTGTTGTCAGAATACAGCTGGGTGAAGCTAGTGCCCACTGAGGAAGTGAGACACGCCATGTTTCTCCACCGTTGTCCTGATCATAAACTCTCATTGTTTACACCCAGGACCAGCTGCTGGCGTTGCGGAGAGCGGAGGGCTCTCCCGGGGACAAACACACTATTCCTGCAGAGATTCTACGGAAAACACCCAGAGGCCGCCACGCGGGATGGAAGGTACGAGGTCCGCGGTGGTAAAAAAAATATAGGATTAAAATGCGTAAAAAAAATAAATAAGTGTAATTAATTAATCTTAATTAATGCGTTAAAGTCCCAGCCCTAGTAATAACGCAGAATATCAGCAGGCAAAGTGACTAGTGAATGGCAGAAGTATCAGATAGACACCGACTCAGCGGCACAGAGGTCATTACTGCTGATGTTTACAGTAGTCTTGGATGTTTGACTGCGTTCCTTCATGATGTTCAAAGGGTTTCTCTGCAGCAGGAGGACAGCAGGAGGACAGCAGGAGGACAGCATGAGGACAGCAGGAAGACATCAAGAGGACAGCATGAGGACAGCAGGAGGACAGCAAGAGGACAGCAGGAGGACAGTATGAGGACAGCAGGAGGACGGCAGGAGGACAGCAGGAGGACAGCATGAGGACAGCAGGAGGACAGCAGGAGGAGAGCAGGAGGAGAGCAGGAGGAGAGCAGGAGGACAGCAGGAGGAGAGCAGGAGGAGAGCAGGAGGACAGCAGGAGGAGAGCAGGAGGAGAGCAGGAGGAGAGCAGGAGGACAGCAGGAGGAGAGCAGGAGGAGAGCAGGAGGACAGCAGGAGGAGAGCAGGAGGACAGCAGGAGGAGAGCAGGAGGACAGCAGGAGGACGACAGGAGGACAGCAGGAGGACAGCAGGAGGACGACAGGAGGACAGCAGGAGGACAACAGGAGGACAGCAGTAGGACAGCAGGAGGACAGCAGGAGGACAGCAGGAGGACAGCAGGAGGACGGTAGGAGGACAGCAGGAAGACAGCATGAGGACAGCAGGAGGACAGCAGGAGGACAGCATGAGGACAGCAGGAGGACAACAGGAGGACAGCATAAGGACAGCAGGAGGACAGCAGGAGGACAGCAGGAGGACAGCATGAGGACAGCAGGAGGACAGCAGGAGGACAACAGGAGGACAGCAGGAGGACAGCAGGAGGACAGCAGGAGGACAGCAGGAGGACAGCAGGAAGACATCAAGAGGACAGCATGAGGACAGCAGGAGGACAGCAAGAGGACAGCAGGAGGACAGTATGAGGACAGCAGGAGGACGGCAGGAGGCAGCAGGAGGACAGCATGAGGACAGCAGGAGGACAGCAGGAGGAGAGCAGGAGGAGAGCAGGAGGACAGCAGGAGGAGAGCAGGAGGAGAGCAGGAGGACAGCAGGAGGAGAGCAGGAGGAGAGCAGGAGGAGAGCAGGAGGACAGCAGGAGGAGAGCAGGAGGAGAGCAGGAGGACAGCAGGAGGAGAGCAGGAGGACAGCAGGAGGAGAGCAGGAGGACAGCAGGAGGACGACAGGAGGACAGCAGGAGGACAGCAGGAGGACGACAGGAGGACAGCAGGAGGACAACAGGAGGACAGCAGTAGGACAGCAGGAGGACAGCAGGAGGACAGCAGGAGGACAGCAGGAGGACGGTAGGAGGACAGCAGGAAGACAGCATGAGGACAGCAGGAGGACAGCAGGAGGACAGCATGAGGACAGCAGGAGGACAACAGGAGGACAGCATAAGGACAGCAGGAGGACAGCAGGAGGACAGCAGGAGGACAGCATGAGGACAGCAGGAGGACAGCAGGAGGACAACAGGAGGACAGCAGGAGGACAGCAGGAGGACAGCAGGAGGACAGCAGGAGGACAGCAGGAGGACAGCATGAGGACAGCAGGAGGACAGCAGGAGGACAGCAGGAGGACAGCAGGAAGACAGCAGGAGGACAGCATGAGGACAGCAGGAGGACAGCAGGAGGACAGCAGGAGGACAGCAGGAGGACAGCAGGAGGACAGCAGGAGGACAGCAGGAGGACGGCAGGAGGACAGCAGGAGGACAGCAGGAGGACAGCAGGAGGACAACAGCTTCTCCGACTTCTTTCGGTCTGATTTGTACCAATGCTTCGTTGGCTCGTCCTCCGCAGATAAGAAAAACAAGTTGACTTCTCCTCCGGGAGTCGCAGATCTGTTTTAGGCAGAACCACACGCTGCACATCCTGACACAGCACCACACATTCCAACACAGACACAAACAGGGGTGTCCAAACTTTTTTGTAAGAGAGCCTTTAGTTCATCAGACTTGACCTGGGGCCGACAACCGGGATTTAAAAACTGGATTCGAGCTGGATGGACTGGATTCTGGAATTTACATGTTATTTATTCTCACCACAGCTGCATTTTATGTGTTATGTTGTGACACAATCATAGAAGAAATGTCAGTAAATTATAATACCCTAACTTCAATCTTACTTCAGGTATCAAAGTTATTATAAGTTGATTTTTACAGAAATAATATTCATCAGTTAGTTTATCAGGGCCTTCTTTGAATTGAGCGGTCTCTGTAGTAAAGTAGGGGTGTAAATCGCGAGTTTTGTCACGATACGATATCATATCGTTACAAAGAACCACGATACGATATTTGCCGATATCTTAAAGTCTGCTGTGATTCATTCACGATACATCACGATATAGTGCTCCACGATCGATATATAATATCCTGATTTATAACAATTCATACACAATCAACAAGGTACTGCAAACTCTTTATTTAGGCAATTAGAGTATTGTAGTATACAAAGTGCTTATTGTAATACTGAACTTTTATTTCCCATGTAAGTAAAGTACAATGAACTCTTTTTTTTTGTTGTAATACCATTCAACTTTAAAGTGCCGATATATATCGATGTTTACGTTTAGCATCGATGCCAACAAATCGTAGAGCATTATATCGATTAATCGATGTGTATCGATTAATCGTTACACCCCTATAGTAAAGTAGTTAGATAGATAGATACTTTATTGATCCCTGTAGACGAATTTCAGTTGTCCAGTAGCAGCAAAAATGAAAAAATAAATTGTATCATTCTAAAAATTTAGTAATAATAATAATCAGCAACAGCCCTTCAGGTCACAGCAGCAGAGGTGGAGTAGCCTCTGGGTGGAGCAGGACAGGTCCAAAGGTGGAGTAGTCACTTGGTTTGGACCATTTTCTCTGCTCTAGTCCAAAGTAAAATGCTAAATGCTTCATTAGCATTTTCCAAAAAGTTAGCATTCCTCCAGTGGATTTTTCATCTGATACTGCAGCAACATCTCAAGTAGAAAAAAGCACGAAAAATCAAATTTGTAAAACACAAAACAAAAACTGTTTCAGAGACACTTAGGACTTGTTGCAGTTTTCCAGCGCATTCAAAAGTAAACGCCACTTTTGTCCAAAATCTCAGGTAACATTAAGAAAGGGTGTCATTGTGGCTGAGTGGGTAGCACCTTCGCTTCTCAGCAATAAGGTTCTGAGTTCAAATCCCAGTCGGAGCAGGGCCTTTCTGAAATAGGCATGAGTAGAAATCACAGTCAAACCAATCACTTGAGTTCACTGCAACGCCAAGCTAAGAACGTACTCAAGGATTTCAAGTGAAGTTAATGTGCAATTTCTTTCCAAGGTTTTTCAAGCACACTTTACTTTGTCAGGGTTTACAGTCCGTAAATGTTGTGGTGGAGCTGAAGTTGGTTGGATGACACTGTCAAAGAGCATCAGCGGCAAGAATTGGTCAGGGTTGTGTTGGTGTGTGCTCCCCCCCTCTGTGTCCCTGGAGCTGGGCCGAGTGTCTGCAGTCCTGGTCCTGCCCCTGGTCCACCCTTCACCATGTTCCAGATCGTCAGTAAAACTCACACAGTGCTACTTCTTGGCTATTCTCTGAAAAACTAGATTTATTCGTTAATTGTTCTTTTCCTTTTTGACTCAGGTTGGTCCTCCTGTTTTTTGCCCTGCCTCAGCCTCCAGCCCTGTCCCATCCAGCCCCAGCCACTCTTGCTTCCTTCTGCTCTTTTTTTGTAACAATAACAACAACAATTTATTCTTGTACAGCCCTAAATCACAGCAACAGCATCATCTCAGAGACTTAACAAAACCATTTAAATCACCAACACAGATCAGAGAATCAAACAGTTAAGACACAGAATATAAACAGATGTATTGGTCCATAGAGAGAGACTAATGTCCATGAATGTTGATAAATGTCCGTCCATGTTGTAGAATGTTAAAGTGTCCTGGATCATCACCACAGTTCTTCTAGTTGGACTCTAACTGTCCAACAGACCCTCCTGCATCGGCAAAGGAAAAACTCACTAAAACCCTGTGGGATAAAAGTGAGAAACTTCCGGGAGAACCCATATTGAGAAAGGCATCCGCTCCTACACGGACTGACGGGCTGTAGACCCAGGACCTAAGCTGCAGAACGAGGACCAGTGCCAGGCAGCGGCCCCAGAGCGTGGACAGGTCCGGTGCAGGACTGAAGCGCTCCCAGGCGGGTCGGGCGGGGCAGTCCGCAGAGGAAGGTGGAGGAGGCCAAGTTCAGAGGTCCTGTTGTTGCGCCATGAAACAGGCAATGGGACAATGGGTGAATAGCAATGAGCAAACTACAGTCAAAATCTTAATAACACAGACCGGTGCAAGACTGAAGCGCTTCCAGGCGGGTCGGGCAGAGCAGTCCGCAGGTGTCTGCACTTTTGATTTGTCATTATAACAGAATTGCAAAGACCAATGTTCATAATTGTGGTTGAATATGGAGTGTCCTGGATCATCATAACTGTCTTTAGACCGTCCTGCGATTGGTAAAAAAAACTCTAGAGAAATCGAGAAAAGAGAGAAACCTCGGGGATTGCTTACAGCTGCTTTGAACAAACTTCTTAAGGTCATTCTCTTTCGCAGCTCGAGCCAAAACCGAGCGGACTGTTACGAAGAGAAAAACAAAACTCAGCCTCAGGATCGTTTTACATCTGTGTTTGATGAGTTTCTCCTCCCGCGACGTCACGGGTTAACGATAAAAGACCAGAGCTGAGTGAGAAACGGGAAGCGACCTCAGAGAAGCAGAGAGCCACGAGAGCGACCCTATGTCCCTGTACAGGCCAGTCCCTGTGCTCCTCAGAGTCTCAGCAGGAGGCCAGTCCCTGTGATCCTCAGAGTCCCAGCAGGAGGCCAGTCCCTGTGCTCCTCAGAGTCACCAGTAGGAGGCCAGTCCCTGTGCTCCTCAGAGTCTCAGCAGGAGGCCAGTCCCTGTGCTCCTCTGAGTCCCAGCAGGAGGCCAGTCCCTGTGCTCCTCTGAGTCCCAGCAGGAGGCCAGTCCCTGTGCTCCTCAGAGTCACCAGCAGGAGGCCAGTCCCTGTGCTCCTCTGAGTCCCAGCAGGAGGCCAGTCCCTGTGCTCCTCAGAGTCACCAGCAGGAGGCCAGTCCCTGTGCTCCTCTGAGTCCCAGCAGGAGGCCAGTCCCTGTGCTCCTCAGAGTCACCAGCAGGAGGCCAGTCCCTGTGCTCCTCAGAGTCACCAGCAGGAGACCAGTCCCTGTGCTCCTCAGAGTCACCAGCAGGAGACCAGTCCCTGTGCTCCTCAGAGTCACCAGCAGGAGGCCAGTCCCTGTGCTCCTCAGAGTCACCAGCAGGAGACCAGTCCCTGTGCTCCTCAGAGTCCCAGCATGAGGCCAGTCCCTGTGCTCCTCAGAGTCACCAGCAGGAGACCAGTCCCTGTGCTCCTCAGAGTCACCAGCAGGAGACCAGTCCCTGTGCTCCTCAGAGTCACCAGCAGGAGGCCAGTCCCTGTGCTCCTCTGAGTCCCAGCAGGAGGCCAGTCCCTGTGCTCCTCAGAGTCACCAGCAGGAGGCCAGTCCCTGTGCTCCTCTGAGTCCCAGCAGGAGGCCAGTCCCTGTGCTCCTCAGAGTCACCAGCAGGAGGCCAGTCCCTGTGCTCCTCTGAGTCCCAGCAGGAGGCCAGTCCCTGTGCTCCTCAGAGTCACCAGCAGGAGGCCAGTCCCTGCACTCTATCCGTGTGTACGACTGTACGGTCTGTAAAAGCGCTCTATAAATAAACATTACTTTCTTACTTACTTAGGACCTTCTTGCTGTGATACACAAGCGCTAACCACTGCGCCGCCAAGACACAGCCCTGTGAGTCACTATTTACCTCCGGCTGTAATTAATATTTACATATAATGCATACATAATACATATATAATATGTCCTTGGCAAGACACTTAACCTCTGGGAACACCAGCCACAGTGGGGCGGCTGCGGCTGTAAAGTGCCAAACTGCCGTTGTATCCTTAGGCAAGACACTTCACCCCCATTGCCTAGAATGAGTCTGGTGTGTGTGTGAATGGTTGGTGGTGGTCAGAGGGGCCGTTGGCACATACAGGTTGCCTCGCTTCTGTCAGTGTGCCCCAGGGCAGCTGTGGCTACAGTAGTAGTTTATCACCACCGTGTATGGAGTGAATGAATAATGACACATGTGAAGCGTCTTTGAGTGTCCAAAAAAGCGCTATATAAAACCGATGCATCATTATTATTATTTAAAAAATATATATTGTGGTCAGGTCATACTTGCACGCGAAAGTGCCAAACTGTGGTTGTGTCCCTAGGCAAAACACTTCCCCCACATTAGAATGAGTCCGGTGTGTGTGTGAATGGTTGGTGGTGGTGGGAGGGGCTAATGGCACAGACTTCTGTCAGTATGCCCCAGGGCAGCTGTGGCTATAGTACTTGTTTATCACCACTGTGTATGGAGTGTATGTGCATTATTGTTATTATTATTAGTAGTAGTATTATTATTATTATTATTATTATTATTATTATTATTATTATTATTATTATAGGAAGGGGCTGGTGCTCTGTGTGACGGGTGCATCTCTGACTGCCACCCCCCGACCCAGAAATGGATTGAGGGGAAGAAAAAAGATGGATATTATTATTTCTATTATTACATATTTTCATTATCTGTAATTTTGACTGGATCTGGCGTTCACCTGCAGGTACACAATTTGATAAAAGTAACAACACAAAAATAAACTACACATAGAAACAGAAAAAGTCGCTATGTTATGAGTCATGACACTTCCAAAACTCAAACCCGTCTTCATCCCAAACATTACTCACAGTAATTGAAGACACACACTCGGATGGACGTCCTGCGACTCCGCGCCCCGTTTGGCCTGGGCCCGGGTTGTGATGTCACATGCATTCCTCGTTGCCTGGATCACTTTCTTGCGTCACTTTTCAGCCGTTTGGACGAGGATCTCACAAGTGACGACCTGTCGATGTGTCGGCAGCAGGGGGCGGAGCCGGGGTTAGTCTGTTATTAAGTGTGTGTGTGTGTGTGTTTGCGTGAGTGTGTGTGTGTGTTTTGTGTGTTTGCATGAGTGTGTGTGTGTGCCTGACTATGTATGTGTCTTGCATTTCTTAGAGAATGCTTCTACAGATCAATAAAGTACCTGTATGTAGATATGTGTACGTGTGTGTATCTAGATGTGTGTATGTGTGTGTGAGTGGGTGTTTGTGTATCTCTTTATATATGTGTGCGTGTGTTTGAGTGTGTCTTTCTGTATGTATGTGTGTGTTTATGTATATGTATGTGTGTGTTTATGTATATGTATGTGTGTGCATGTGTGATGTGCCTGTATGTGTGTGCATGTACATGTGTGTATATTTATGTGTGGTATGTGTCTCTCTGTATGTATGTGTTTGTGCGTGTCTCTGTATTAGAGTTTCGCTTTTCAGCCCGAGCCCGAGCAGGCCCGAGGCCCGACCTGAGTTCGGGCCGGGCTCGGTCCTCATTTGGCGCTCAGCTGTCGGGTTTGTGCCGGGCTTGGGCTTCTTTTTTTAAATATATGTTTCGTTTTTATTATTATTATTATTATTTTTAATAATGACTTGTCCATGGGCTGAAGCCCATGGACAAGTCCCCGGACCCCAACCCCGTGATGACGGAGACCCCCATCCCCCGCTCGTCCCAGGACATCACCCCCGCGGACAGATTTTTATACATAATGATATATATATATATATATATATATATTAATAACAATGTCCGTTGATTGACAACAAGTTATTAAAAAAAGTGAATATATTAATGACACCCTAACCAGCGTGTCCTACAGCAGCAGCGAGCTGTGAACGCATCATCCCCGTGTCTCCTGCTGCTGTGGTCAACAGCGAACAGGAACAATAGTAGAAATGGATCAAGTGGAGACAAAACAAATTCAAAAGTGGAGAATAAACTTGCAATTGGAGGTGAGTGCGTACAACGGGAAATCGGATGTGTTGGGTTCTGTCGGGCTCGGGCCTGTTATACAGCGTTCATTGGTTGGGCTTATACGGGCTCGGGCTTAACCTTAGCGGGCTCGGGCCGAGTCGGGCTTCATTTTTCAGGCCCGAACGAAACTCTACTCTGTATATCTGTGTGTTTCTCTGTTTATGTGTGTGTGTGTAAATATCTTTGTGTGTGTGTCTGTCTGTGTATATGTGTATGTGTCTATTTGTGTGTGCGTGTCTCTCTCTGTATATATATGTGTGTGTGTGTCTCTCCATGTGTTTGTGTGTGTGTTGGTCTGTCTCTGTGTGTACGTGTGTGTCACTGTGTGTGTGTAGAGAGAGAAAAACAGCCGTAAGTGAGGCTTCTGCAGCTGACGTTATTTTTACGACCCGCAAACCACAGTAAACAAACACACAGCACATAAACCAGAGGAGGCGGAGTGTGTGTGTGTGTGTGTGCGAACATTCTACTGCGATACGGGGACACAAAAACACATTCGGAATGACATCTGAAATCTCTCTATTTTTCCAGGGAATGTTCAGTACGACTGCGATCGCACACACACAACACAACTTAACACAACTTTAACTCACGGTTAACGACAAAACACCTGCAAATTAAGTGTAGTAATTTAAAGAGCATATATGTAAAGTCCTCTAGCTCTAGATGTTCATTGTGTCCCGTCTTTGGGAGAAAAGCTAAACGGTAAAATCCATTCAACTAAAACTTCAGATTGAAAGAGTCCAAAAACATCACAATTTCAGCCAGATTTGATCAATATTTACACAGAAATCAATTTTTTGACCCTTATACTTAGGCACGTACCTTTTTCCTGTGGTGACAAGTTGACACAGGTCCAAACAACACGCTAACTATTCCCACTTTAGTCTCGGGTCAAAATACGGGTCCAGAAAAAGCCTCATGAATGTGGCCTATAGCCCCGTTTCCACTGGCCCTACTTACTGTAACTGAAAAAAAGAGAGAGACCAGACAGGCCATAGAGAGAGAGACCAGAGAGAGACCAAAGAGAGGCCAGAGGTAGAGAACAGAGAGAGAGCAGAGAGAGAGAGACCAGATAAAGAGACCAGAGAGAGAGACCAGATAAAGAGACCAGAGAGAGAGACTAGAGAGAAACCAGAGAGAGAGAGACAAGAGAGAGACTAGAGAGAGACTAGAGAGAGACCAGAGGTAGATAACAGACAGAGACCATAGAGAGAGAGACCAGAGAGAGACCAACGAGAGACCAAAGACAGGCCAGAGGCAGAGACCAGAGAGAGAGACCAGAGAGAGACCAGAATGAGAGACCATAGAAAGACCAGAGAGAGAGACCAGAGAGCCCTAGAGAGACCATAGAGAGACCATAGAGAGAGACTAGAGAGACACCAGAGAAGCCTCATAGAGTGAGAGACCAGAGAAACCATAGAGTGAGAACCAGAGAGACCATAAAGAGAGAGACCAGAGAGAGACCAAAGAGAGGCCAGAGAGAAATAGACCATTGAGAGAGACCAGATCCAGGTTTGGAATCTGTTCTGCTTTATCCGAGCTCGGTTCATGCTTCCTCATGCTACGTCCATAATGCTAATGTCTACCTCTTGCCAGACGCTAATTACGGAAACAGAAGTTTTGAGTTTCCTGCCGTACAATGTTTGCTTTGTGAGTTTGGACGAGGAGCGAGGGGAGCGAGGGGGAAACAGCTTGTTGTGGTCAGAGGCTGCGGAGCTCGGACTCCGGCTAATGGAGCTAGCAACATCTGGAGTCACTAAAGCGCTAATAGCAGCTCGCTCATAATTGGCCTCGACCTTTTATTCCTGAGAGGTCATTGGTCAGAAAAAGTGGGGAAGTTTAAGAACGGGACAATTAACTTCCTGTTATTCAATGATAATGGTCGCACGAGGCGCTAAGCTAACGGAGGGTCGTTAGCAGGAATGTCAGACACTACAGCTGTGCATTCAGGAACACTGGGGCAGCCTCAGTCCTGGGTCTACAGCCTCAGTCCTGGATCTACAGCCTCAGTCCTGGATCTACAGCCTCAGTCCTGGGTCTACAGCCTCAGTCCTGGGTCTACAGCCTCAGTCCTGGATCTACAGCCTCAGTCCTGGATCTACAGTCTCAGTCCTGGGTCTACAGTCTCAGTCCTGAATCTACAGCCTCAGTCCTGGATCTACAGCCTCAGTCCTGGGTCTACAGCCTCAGTCCTGGGTCTACAGTCTCAGTCCTGAATCTACAGCCTCAGTCCTGGATCTACAGCCTCAGTCCTGGGTCTACAGCCTCAGTCCTGGGTCTACAGCCTCAGTCCTGGGTCTACAGTCTCAGTCCTGAATCTACAGCCTCAGTCCTGGGTCTACAGCCTCAGTCCTGGATCTACAACCTCAGTCCTGGGTCTACAGCCTCAGTCCTGGGTCTACAGCCTCAGTCCTGGATCTACAACCTCAGTCCTGGGTCTACAGCCTCAGTCCTGGGTCTACAACCTCAGTCCTGAATCTAAATGAAAAAAAAGAAACCCAAAAACTGAATATAAAGTCCATACAGGGGGAGAAACAGGTAGATCCGAGAGAGATAGACCAGAGAGAGACCAGAGAGAGACCAGAGAGAGACCAGAGAGAGACCAGAGAGAGAGACCAGAGAGAGACCAGAGAGAGAGACCAGAGAGAGACCAGAGAGAGAGACCAGAGAGAGAGACCAGAGAGAGACCAGAGAGGGACCAGAGAGGGACCAGAGAGAGAGACCAGAGAGAGACCAGAGAGAGAGACCAGAGAGAGAGACCAGAGAGAGACCAGAGAGGGACCAGAGAGAGAGACCATAGAGAGACCAGAGAGAGAGACCAGAGAGAGAGACCAGAGAGGGACCAGAGAGAGAGACCAGAGAGGGACCAGAGAGAGAGACCAGAGAGAGACCAGAGAGAGACCAGAGAGAGACCAGAGAGAGACCAGAGAGGGACCAGAGAGCAAGACCACATCCATACTCCGCTTTCACACGGTTATTTTATCGTTACTGGACCGCTTTGTCGTTGCGCCGTTTGCAGTTGTCAAAAAACGCCTCTAAAATAATAAATACTTTTCTATCATCTGAAAAATGTCTCTTTTTTTGCATGAATGACCCTTTTTTCACATTTTATTCATCTATTTTATATTTCATAAATTGTGTTTTAATTTTCAATATTTAAATGTTTTCTTTATTTTTTCATTATTACTTTTTTTGTATTTTTGTATTTCTATCAAAACATATTTCCTGGTTTTTACTGTACTTTTTTTTACATTACATTTTTTGCCTAGTATTTCTTTGGCATTATGGAATTTAAACCAATGAAATTCTACAAAAAAAGGCAAAAACTTAAAAAAATTAAAATAAAAAAGGACCAGTTTTAGCAGTTTCTAATTCAACCATGTGTTTTGAATTCCGTGTTTTTATATTTTTATTAATATATATTTGTATTTGTATTTTTTTTTAGGTAAGGCAAAAACTTACCTAAAGAAATTACCAGTTTTACCACTGGCTAGTTCTACCCTTGGGTTTTGAATTCCGGGTTTTTGTACTTTTTTTTTTACTGTAATCATGTCTTATACATTACAATCGTTGCCTTGTTTTGTTATGTAGAGGCATTATGGAATTTTAACCAATTAAATTCTTTAAAAAAACTAAAAATAAATGACTAGTTTTCCCAGTTTCCAGTTGAACCCGTGTGTTTTGACTGAAGCCATGAACCCGGGGAATGAACCGTGGCTGAGGACATTTGATAAATCCTGGCGTCCTCTTTGAGTTCCTCTTTGAGCGTCTGTTGAAGAGGCTCCTACAGAGGGCCTTTGTGCCGGGGCCCGCTGGCTCCGGGGCCGGCCTGGTGAAAGAACAGGCTCAGAAAGACTACAACAGGTAACAAGGACCCACTGCTGCGGGACAGATGTGCGCCCGCGGGAAAGAGACCGCCATGGTCCGCCGCCATGGTCCGCCGCCATCGTCCACCGCCATCGTCCGCCGCCATGGTCCGCCGCCATCGTCCACCGCCATGGTCCGCCGCCATCGTCCGCCGCCATCGTCCGCCGCCATGGTCCGCCGCCATGGTCCGCCGCCATGGTCCACCGCCATCGTCCGCCGCCATCGTCCACCGCCATGGTCCGCCGCCATGGTCCGCCTCCATGGTCCGCCGCCATCGTCCACCGCCATCGTCCGCCGGCATCGTTTGCCGCCATCATCCACCGCCATCGTCCGCCGCCATCGTCCACCGCCATAGTCCGCCGCTGGTCTCTCTCTCTCTGGACTATCACTGGTCTCTCTCTCTCTGGACTATCGCTGGTCTCACTCTCTCTGGACTATCGCTGGTCTCACTCTCTCTGGACTATCGCTGGTCTCACTTTCTCTGGACTATCGCTGGTCTCTCTCTCTCTCTCTCTCTCTGGACTATCGCTGGTCTCTCTCTCTCTCTCTCTCTCTCTCTCTCTGGACTATCGCTGGTCTCTCTCTCTCTCTCTCTCTCTCTCTCTCTCTCTCTCTGGTCCCTGTGTTTGTCATAAAGTAGTAGAAACATATGGTTATTATAAGTTGGTCACTGGGGTTACATATAGCAACAAGTTGTGTGAGCTCCGTGCGTAGAAGAGGAAGCCGCTGTTACACGTCCCACTAATTACAGCAGAGACTCACGCGGCGCTCAGCTCTATCATGGAAACAGCATTCTGACCACTCTGGATCTGCTTTGTCTTCTGTTTGGAGGAACGAGCTTGTTCTGATCGCTGTAGCTGCAGATTGTATACAATTACAGTCAACTACACACTGGAAATGATGTCAAGATGGATACACGAGAGAGAGAAAGAGAGAGAGACATGAGAAAGAGAGAGAGAAAGAGACCAGGGAGAGAGAAAGAGACCAGGGAGAGAGATCGAAGAGATGGGACCAGAGAGAGAGAGACAAGAGAGAAAGAGAGATAGACAAGATATAAAGAGACAAGAGAGAGAGACAGGAGAGAGAGAGAGGTACCAGAGAGAGAGAGAGACAAGACAGAGAGAGAGACCAGAGAGAAAGAGACAGACCAGAGAGAGAGAGACAGACCAGAGAGAGACACAACAGAGAAGGGACCAGAGAGAGAAACAAGAGAGACCAGAGAGAGAGAGAGAGTGACAAGAGAAAGAGAAACCAGAGATAGACCAGAGAAAGTGGCTAGAAAGAGAGAGACAAGACATAGAGAGGGGTGCCAGAGAGAGACACGAGAGAGACCAGAGAGAGAAAGAGACTAGAAAGAGTTTACTTTAGCAGTGTTTCTTGTCTTTCACTAAATCATAAAACTTGTACATATTAAAACAGTTTAATAATAAAAACTGCATTGGGTGAAAGGACCTGAAGCTCAGCGTGTGAAACTTTTCAAACACAAACTTCTCTCAGCAACAACAACATGACGCTGGCGCATGAGAACATGGAGTGGCGCCTGCACCCCGAGCTCCGCTGAATCACAGGGCTCGGATTGCAGCTCTGAAGCGGCTGTAACTGATCCAAGCACCATCCCCCTCTCTCTCTCTCTCTCTCTCTCTCTCTCTCTCTCTCTCTCTCTCTCTGCAGGGCCAGGATCCAGCCCACATCACCACATCCAGCCTGGAGCCCGGCCAGGGAACTATTCATCTGCAAATATCGGGGCCACAGAAACACACACAAGACACACACATATACACAGGGCGCACAAACATGTATACACAAGCCGGACACATATACTTATACAGACACACACTTATACACACACACACACACACACACACACACACACAGGCATGTACAGTAATCAACCTGTGGCTTTTTGTACAAGTAAGAAAGTAAGGTTTGCCAGAGAGAGAGAGAGCAGAGAGTGAGGGAACAGAGAGAGACCAGAGAGAGGGAGACAAGAAAGAGACTAGAGAGAGAGGGAACAGAGAGACCAAAGAGAGAGACCAGAGAGTGAGGGAACAGAGAGAGACCAGAGAGAGGGAGACCAGAAAGAGACTAGAGAGAGAGGGAACAGAGAGACCAAAGAGAGAGACCAGAGAGAGAGAGAGACCAGACAGACAGAGGGAACAGAAATAGAGACCAGAGAGAGACCATTGAGAGAGACCAGGGAGAGACAAGAAAGAGAGGGAACAGAGAAACCAGAAAGATCAGAGAAAAAAAAAGAGAGAGGGACCAGAGAGAGAGACCAGAGAGAGAGGGAACAGAAAGAGAGGCCAGAGAGAGAAACCATTTGCAATCATTGGGGCTACAGAAACACAAAAACACACACATACACTTAAAAATCATTAAAAGTGGTTTGAAGTGGTTAGCCATGCTTCTAAAACCATAAATATAATTCTGATTTGGTTACCCATTTCTCAAAGTTCATTAGAACACAGGAAAAGGGGTTAGCCATGCTTCTACAACCATAAATACAAGTTTTAAGTGGTTAGCAATGCTTCTAAAATCATATTAAACTTGATGATAATTTGATGAGACTTTATTCATGTAAATCTATAAAATAATCATGAACATGTGAAGCTCTTGTCCTTCCATCATGAGTGGCTGGTCCTGGCTGGTCCTGGCTGGTCCTGGCTGGTCCTGGCTGGTCCTGGCTGGTCCTGGCTGGTCCTGGCTGTTCCTGGCTGGTCCTGGCTGGTCCTGGCTGGTCCTGGCTGCAGCAGACAGATTGACTGTCTGCCTGTGAACGTGCCGGCGGCGGCGGCTCTCCGCACTGGACCGCGAGGCTAACCAGTGTTTGCTTTGTGGAAATCCAGTCGGTCTTGAGCAGAGTGAGAGTGTGTTTCTACTCTGGCCCATGCCGTTACCAGGGCAACGGAGCCACAGACGACTTTTCCATGTGGCATCTGTTCGGCGTGTCGTACATTTGCACGGCTGCTTTAGTCTGACGTCCCAGGGCCGCTTTTTACAAGATTATTATATACTCACGACGTGGTTTTACTGTTCTGGTGCGACTGCATGAAAATGAGTCAATCAGAGAGAGAGAGAGAGAGAGAGACTAGAGAGAGAGACCAAAGAGAGAGAGATAGACTAGAGAGAGAGGCCAGAAAGAGAGGCCAGAGAGAGAGAGAGACCAGAAAGAGAGAGAGAAAGACTAGAGCGAGAGAGACCAGAGAGAGAGAAAGAGACCAGAGAGAGACTAGAGAGACACCAGAGAGAGAGGGAGGGACTAGAGAGAGAGAGAGAGCAGAGAGAGACCAACACAGGTCTCTCTCTTGTCTCTCTCTCTCTGGTTTCTCTCTGCTGTCTCTCTCTCTCTGGCCTCTCGCTCTCTCTCTGGCCTCTCGCTCTCTCTCTGCTCTCTCTCTCTCTAGTCTTTCTCTCTCTCTTTCTGGTCTCTCTCTCTCTCTGGCCTCTCGCTCTCTCTCTGGCCTCTCGCTCTCTCTCTGCTCTCTCTCTCTCTAGTCTCCCTTTCTCTGGTCTCTCTTATCTTGGCTGCACTGTGCTGTAACTTGACTTAATTTGAAAATCTGACGTTTGTTTTAGACCTTTTATTCCGACCCCTTCTTGTCTCTCTTTCTCTCTCTCTCTTTCCCGTGGTGAGAAGTTGACTTGGTTCTAAACAACACGCCAACCTTTCCCCGGTCACCAGCATAAAAACAGACCATGGCAAACTCCCTGTAATAACCAGTCCACTCCCAACCATTACCTAAAGATAACAAGTTTATCTTTCTCCAAACTGATATATTTCTACACACACACACACACACACACACACACACACACACACACACACACACACACACACACACACACACACACACACACACACACACACACACACACACACACACACCCACACACACCTACTGCTTCCAATCATGTCCCAGACTTGTTTTTGCTCTCTCCTCGGGCTGTTCTCTTTCAGGATCCGACCCGGTAACCTGGGAGAGGGGGGAGATAGAGGGGGAGAGCGAGAGGGGGGGGGGGAGAGGAAGGGGGTTTCATCATCTGGTTCCTATTCTCCCCGCCCTGTCCAATGAAATCCGAGCTGCTTAAGACCAGAGCTGAATTATGACCCATCAATAAATACCATATTCTCGGGGCTTTGATCCGACACAGGGAATGGAAAGTGGTGCGGCGTCATGTGAGAGAGAGTTACGGCCTGATAGCTTTGCTGCTAATCTCCCAGTTTGGAGTTCCGGACTCTTCCTCTGTGGCTGCGGCTTCATCTGTTTTGACAGCGGCGTGAACTATTGGGCATTTTTCAGACGGTTTTTTCTATTAGCTTTAGCCACAAATCTCAAAACGTCACAACTATTTTCAATCTCTCTCCACTCTCCGTGACCCCAGAAAGAGAGAGAGAGAGGGGGGAGGGAGGCGGGTGAGAGGGAGGGAGAGCGGGGGGGGGGGGGGGGGAGGGAGAGCGAGAGAGAGAGAGGGGAGAGGGAGGGAGGGAGAGCGAGAGAGAGGGGGAGGGGGGAGGGAGAGAGACCGAGCAAGAGAGAGAGAGGGAGAGGAGAGAGACCAAGCAAGAGAGAGGGAGGGAGAGGAGAGAGACCCAAGCAAGAGAGAGGGAGGGAGGGAGAGGAGAGAGACGGAGCGAGAGAGAGAGGGAGGGAGGGAGAGGAGAGAGACCAAGCAAGAGAGAGGGAGGGAGGGATGGAGAGGAGAGAGACCGAGCAAGAGAGAGGGAGGGAGGAAGAGGAAAGAGACGGAGCGAGAGAGAGAGAGAGGGAGGGAGGGACAGGAGAGAGACCGAGCGAGAGAGAGAGAGGGAGGGAGGGAGAGGAGAGAGACAGAGCAAGAGAGAGAGAGGGAGGGAGAGGAGAGACCGAGCGAGAGAGAGAGAGGGAGGGAGAGGAGAGAGACGGCGCGAGAGAAAGAGAGAGGGAGGGAGGGAGAGGAGAGAGACCGAGCAAGAGAGAGAGAGGGAGGGAGAGGAGAGAGACGGAGCGAGAGAGAGAGAGGGAGGGAGAGGAGAGAGACGGAGCGAGAGAGAGAGAGGGGGAGGGAGAGAGAGAGGGGGATGAGAGAAAGTGAGAAGGATACATACATACATAATGAGACATCTCTGGTCTTCAGTCTCTCTCTGGTCTTCGGAGTAGATAAAGTCTTCAGTCTCTCTCTGGTCTTCGGTCTCGCTCTGGTCTTCGGAGTAGATAAAGTCTTCGGTCTCTCTCTGGTCTTCGGTCTCGCTCTGGTCTTCGGAGTAGATAAAGTCTTCGGTCTCTCTGACAGCAGAATGCAGGGGTCAGGTCTGGGGGTGCACCTGCCTGAGGTCGGGGCCTCTGCTG